TCCATTCGTTCTACTTCGGCGTTAATTACGGCCTGCATTGCCGGGTTACGCGACCGGTACCGTTGTTTGATGGGGGTCTGGGTTGTAGCTCGGATTACGTGTGTGATTTTCATCGTGGGTCCCGTGACTCCCTCGAATAAGGCCAGTTCGGTCTGTAAACATTCCCCCAGCTGAGCCATTTCGGTGGATTCGTCGGTAACGGGTCCGCGGGCCGGAGCGGCGCGTCGACCGGAACTGCGGGGCCGTGGCGGCGGCAGGATCGTGTATTGCATCCGGCCCCACAGGTCTATTCCCACGAGCATCTCCTTGTCGAGCGTGGGCAAGATTCTGAACGCATGATTCAATCGACGGCTCAGTACGCAGATCGGGCATCGGATAACCCCTTGGACCATGGCGGCACTCCCGTCGACCAGGTGCACCTGGCTGGTGAGTGCCTCGACCGGGTAGCCTCGGGCTCCCAAGCGTTCGGCCGAAGCCGCGCTAATGAACGAGGATTCGGCTCCCGTGTCTATAGTAGCGCCTCAAATCGCTGATTCTCCACATATATGGTCAGGTGCGGTCGCGGCGTGTACTTTATCCCGACCGGGGTTCGGCCACCGTTTCACCGGCCTGTGTGGCGTTTCCCGGCGGCGGGTGATAGTTGCGGGTAAACACGCCGTCCTTGCCGCATTGCGAACAGAATCGTTTCGAGGGGCGCCGACAATTAAACCGGGTGTGTCTCCGTTGCTTGCAACGTCAGCAACACTCGCTCCGATCGTACCCTCCCGTCGCGGCCGCGCTGGCCGGTTTCGGAAGGTTCTGGCGGCTTCGGCACTGCTCCTCCATTTCCTCGAAATCATCGGCCCGTCATAGGAGGTCCCCCGAGCGGAGAACGTCATCGCGGCGGATATACATTTCGTATCGGGGGTGCAGGTTCTCGTACAGCGTGTCTAGCTGGTCCGCTAAAGTGTACCTCCCGTCCTGCGCATCATCGTGCCTAGTTCCGTTGCGAATTTACGGTATTTCTCTTCCGGGCGTTGCACGCGGGCCTGTATGTCCCGTACTAGTTGCGTGCGATAACGGCGGAGAAGGTAGTATTCGCGGAACGATTGTTCGAAATCGCCCCAGGTCGTCCAGTCCGCTCGATTGTTACAGTACCACAGAATCGCGTCGCCTCGCAAGAGCTCCGGTAGCCCCCGCAGTACTTGGTCGTCGGTATACGCGTATTCCGCTTTGAGTTTTTCGACGCGTTCCAGGAAGGCCACCGGGTCCTTCCTCTCGTGGCACCCCCATTTCCGAATCTGATTGATAAGTTTCGCGGTGAGTTCGGTGGAAACAGGTACGTTCGCGGGGGGTTCGGTGGACACGGGCATGTTCACGACCTCGTCTGGCGCGAGAAATCGGTCTTCCCTCTCGGAAAAGATTCCGGGTGTCGGGACACGTACTGGCTTAATCGGCGGCGGAGGTCGTCGATGCCTCCCTCGGTTTCGAGTCCGAGCGTCTCGTGTTCCTGGATTAGTTCGTTCTCGGTCAATTTGTAGATCCACTCTTTAGTCATTGCTCCCGCGTGTCTCTCGCTCCTGGAGTTAATCGGGTTCCTGTTCGGGCGCCATAAAACGACCTGTTTTTATTTCGCGAGCACGGACTAGCTTGTTAGGGCCAGGTTCGCGGATAGATCGAGATACGTTGGTTCGGGAACAATGATCTTTATTGCAGATCTTACAAGTGGTTTGGCCGCCGGTCGCGGTCGACCGGTTATGAAATTCTTACGGACGTTCGCGACAGTGGTTGCTATTTACAGAGCGCGATTGCTAACAATGACAAAAATTCTAGCCTACTATGTACTATATGTACTACAAGCCGGGCCTCGTGCGTGCCACGGTTGGCGGCGGCTGGCGCGATCCGAAATCGTAGCGCGGTGGCGCGGTTGGGTTTCGGCGCGAGATTCCGGGCTTGGTCTGGTACGTGAGACCGGGATTCGAGTGGATGCCGGCAACGCCTGGGCGGAGACAGAGCATACTCTACCCCCTGTTTTCCACTCATTTGGGAGAGATGGATGCAGGCCGATCCAGATAGCAAAAACTCCTGCTGGAGGCGAGGAACACCTCACCCCCTCTGTACCTGGACGGTCGATGGCAGGAGCGGCGTCCCTAGGAGCGCTACTCGGGAGCTCCCGATGATGGCGGAGTACTCTCCACCCCACGTTTGGTCGTCGTAGGAAGGCCTGGGACGATTTGGAGCGGTTATTTGCCTGGAGCTGGTCGGCGGCGGAATCTCTCTTTTCGTTGCTCGGCCTCCCTTATATTCCAAAATCCGTCGATTTTGGCGGCGCTCAAATCGGCGGCACGCGTGGTGACGTCGCATCCGCGGCTTCGGCCGGGTCCGCGGGATTTCGGCGCGGGTCAGATCCGCGAGTGTTGGCCGCTCGGGTTTTAAAAAAAATATTCGGCGGGCGCCTTATGCCCGCCTCATCGCCCGATCGATTTCGATCGGCGGCATCCGGCGGTCTTGGCCAGGAACGATGCGGGTTCGGGGCGCATCGTTACAAATGGATTAACCCATTAACGCCGGACCGTCCTGGATTTTGCAGTTCTTTTCAAACCGTTGCGACACAATGAATTTGAAATGGGAAAAATTCTAACCCACCTGTCCTGATGTTTCCGAGGGTTCTCTTTCTAATAGTGCCAATGGAAAATAGAAAAGCAAAGCCTAATATGAGAAAAATTAATTTTCACTCGAAAAATCGTTATTTTTTGATCGACGTTCAAGAAATCAATTTTCCAGATCTTGGGCTAGGGATTAGCTCAAAATTGATAAATATCACGTCCTCGATGTCTAAACTTAAAATTACCACGGTGGGAAAGAAAATTTTCCGTGACGGAAAATCAAAATAGCGACTAGAATCAAAATTATTTTTGTAAACTTCGCGAATTTTTCACTCAACATGTATCCGGTGTTTTGAAAAATGTCAGGAGGAAAAAGTCTTAGAATTGATCATAGAATATGCTAAAATTTGTGTATGAAGGTGTTTTGGCCACTTTTTAAAATTTTTGAAAATTTGGGAAATTGGAAATGTGCATTTTTTCAGTCACACACTTTCAAGAAGGATCTTTCGTAAAGTTATTGGTGCGTATATAGGTTTTTTGGATTTGAAAAATTCACATTTACAATTTCCCAAATTTTCAAAAATTTTCTGTCTTGCTTCGCAAAGACAGTCTCAAACCTACGTGAAATCGTACAACGCGTGAACCTAGTTTCGCCTCGAAGGCAGGGGTCGGTGTGGGGTAGGACTTGCTTCGCGCAGACAGTTGCAAACCTGCGTGGAACCGTACAAAGCGTGGACCTAGTTTCGCTTCGAAGTCAGGAGTTGATATGGGGTGGGTTTCGTTTTGCGTGGAAAGTTGCAGTCTATGTGGAACCGTACAACGCGTGGACCTAGTTTTATTCCGAAAGCAAAAGTCGGTGTGGGATGTCAGTGGATCTCGCTTCACGTGGAAAGCTGCAAACTCATGTAGAATAACAACAACAGTACAATGCATAGACCTGGTTTCACCTCAAAAGCAAGGGTCGGTGTAAGATGGACCACTGTTTCTACTCCTTCCCTGTTCATACGAGTTTCTACATAAATATTAATATACTAGCATGTACCACGGATTTGCCCGCCGTCTTAGATACTTTTGTACATGATTTTATGCAACTTAGAATCAATCTTATCCGGAAATTCTACAGAAATAAATTTGTCAATCTCACCTGGTTGTATTTTATCAATACAAATTTCGTATTAAATTGTAATTAATAAAAGATACAATATACATATATCTTCTGTAATAATTTTTGTAAGGTTTTATTTAAAGCTTTTGACTCGCCATTTGTATCTGTGTTAAATTTATACTGAATTTTATATACAATATATTAAATTACTGGATATAAAGTGTTTTCTAATAGCAAATATAACACACAAAAATAGAGCAATAACGTACTGCTATCAACCATTTTCTAATGAAAAGAGGTTTCTTAATATGTTACTGAGATAGATCATCCACCTAGTCTAAATAGTAAAATATGGGATAGTTTGCACTATCTGGCATAAATGAAGAAACTTGTAAATTCTCAAATTTCTAACGACATTGAAAGTTATTCCGAATTAATTTATTAAGAAAGAGCGTAAAGAAGTAAAGTCTTATGAAATTGATATACGTGAAAATAATTATCATTTATTTATAGTACGATTTTGAGCTCAAAATTATATCGGTTTTTATCCCTGTTGTAAGTTCTTGACATAAATATACATATACATATCATCAAATTGTAAGAGGCAATGTTCTAAACATTTTAAAGCCAAATAAATTCCTATTCTTACCTATTACCCTTTAGTCTCTTATTACAAGTCTGTACAGGGTGTCTGAAAAATAACTGATCAGTCGAAGTATGTAGGTAGATTAGGGCAAATTAAAGAGAAAGTCAGATACCATGATGCAAAATTCGCAATAGTTATTGAGTTATTCATTATTATGTCTAAGTGAATGAGTGCGCGGAAACAGGCTTCCGACCATAGACCGGGCTCGGTAGGCGTAGTGTCGCTCGTCGCTCGCGCGTAAGCGAAGTCAGAAACCTATTTCCGTGCGCTCATTCGCTTAGACGTAATAATTAATAACTCAATAACTATTGCGAATTTTGCATAATAGCATGTGACTTTTCTCTTCAGCTTGCCGTAATCCACCTGCATATTTCGATTGATCAGTAACTTATCAGACACCCTGTATAGACTTACAATTAGTAATAAAGAGTGAAGGGATTAATGTTCAGAATAGAAAATTATTTAGGTTTATACGCGCGCGCGCGTATATGTATATGACAGCTTGAGTATTTTCACTGGTTTTTTACTTTATATACATATAATTAGATAAATATTGAATACTGCAGAAAAAAGTATTAAGAATACAAATAGGAATTAGAAATACTAAGAATAAGAGGGTTAAAAAAATGCTATATTTTGATTAAATTTACGATTGTGTGTGAAGGTCGTACGGCTGAAGCAAAAGCGTCGAACGCTAAAGAATCGCGGTTATGCTCAGAACTGTCGCAGTAAGCGGCTACAGCAACGGCAGGACCTGGAGAGCACCAATCGGAATTTGCAGAACGAACTTCAGCGCGCGAAGATCGAGTTGACGCGGATTCAGCAGGAACGTGACCTTTACAAGCAACGATACGATATGTTGAGAACGCGACAGAGCCATCATCACAATCACAATCATAGCCATCATCAACAACAGATACCGCAGCAACAGCAGCAACAGCAGCAACAGCAACAGCAGCAGCAGCAGCAGCAGCAACATCAAACTCAAAGTCAACAACCACATCCACAGCAACAACAGCAACACCAACCAGCACCAGCGAGTCCTGAAGTCTATCTGTGACATCGACAGCGCCGAGGAGGCGCTTGTTGGACTTGAAGTGTCATTCGTTGCGACGATGGATTCTTCCACTGGTGAGTAATGATAACTATATAGTATTGTAATATTATACATATATGTGGACTGTACATCACAATATGCACAGTGTGATACTTGTTCACGATTTAGAAAGACTGAAATATTTTACTAAATTCTGTATTTATATCTAATATTTTACATATTACTCGTACATACACTACAAAAAAAAAATAGGGAACACTTTTCATACCCTAAAAATTGGGCTATTTTCAAACCACTGAAACTCGGCGAAAAATAATCGTAGACACAAAATTAAAAAAGCATTTTAAAGCTTGAAGTTTCAACTTTAAAACTTTGTCAATAATTTATTTCGATATATTCATCTTCCTCGTTCTGTGCTTTAAAAAAGAATACATTGTTTTGTTCCTTAAAATTACGTATTTTTGACACACTGTAGCTCGATAAAAAAATTTCTCTCGACAAATTTGATACAAGTTCCACAATCTACGACATTTTACCTACAAAATGCTTTTTTTAATTTTCCTACGATTTTTCTTGACCGAGTTACATGACTTTGAAGCGAACCATGCATTTTCTTGAAAAATGATATTTACCGCCGGCATTAGCGTTACCCAATGTGCACCACGTGGAGGTTGCCGGTCGGATTGTGCACATCGCGCGCGCGCGTGTGTGTATCTGTGAGTGATGTGTGTGTAGCGTGCGTGTGTCAGCGTGTGTGTGTGTGTGTGCGTGTGAGCGTTTTGTATTGTATATTACCTCCTCTCTGATTAATTACCGCTTGTAAACGCTCTCGCATGTTGATGCATCTCTCGATCATGTTTTGCGGAATTTCATACCAAATTTGTCGAAGCACTTCTCCTAAAAAATCGTCTGTGCACATCTTGCAGTGTTCACAGTGTACAGCAGTAATTAATCAGAGAGGAGGGAATACACAATACTAAACGCTCGCTCGTGCACACACACACACACACACACACACACACACACACACACACACACAGATACACACACGCGCGCGCGCGCGCGCGCGATGTGCACAATCCGACCGGCAACCTCCACGTGGTGCACATTGGGTAACGCTAATGCCGGCGGTAAATATCATTTTTCAAGAAAATGCATGGTTCGCTTCAAAGTCATGTAACTCGGTCAAGAAAAATCGTAGGAAAATCTTAAAAAATCATTTTGTAGGTAAAATGTCGTAGATTGTGGAACTTGTATCAAATTTGTCGAGAGAAATTTTTTTATCGAACTACAGTGTGTCAAAAATACGTAATTTTAAGGAACAAAACAATGTATTCTTTTTTAAAGCACAAAACGAGGAAGATGAATATATCGAAATAAATCATTGACAGAGTTTTAAAGTTGAAACTTCAAGCTTTAAAATGCTTTTTTAATTTTGTGTCTACGATTATTTTTCGCCGAGTTTCAGTGGTTTGAAAGTAGCCCAATTTTTAGGGTATGAAAAGTGTTCCCTATTTTTTTTGTATATACATAATTATCTCTAAATATATCGAGCGGCACGGTAGCATTGCGACGCCAAATACAGAAAAAGGGAGAATTGACCATGTGATAACATCACTGTACAAATATCGAGTTGTTATCAAGTTTATGAAGTTTATCAAGTAGACACTATTGATGGCATTTTTTTCCTTGCATTAATGCTTGAAGATAGCACGAGTATAATCGACTTTATTTATCTATCGATTCTATTTTATAAATTGATACTATATAGATATAATACTTTTTTTATAATCGATATTGTTGTTTTAAAAAATGATAAAAAGTGCATGCGCCTATTAACAAATTGTATAAAAAATGGTTTAATATACAGAATGTCTCGTAACTGGTGGTACAAACGGAAAGAAAGTGATTATACGTAAAAGAAATAAAGCGAAAATAAAGAATAACATTTTTTGTACGAGATTCTGTTTTCGAGAAAAGATCTTTTGAGCGTCGAACAATTAAAATAAAAAGTAAGTTCGGCTTCTGGATTCTTAAAAAGACAAAATACGCAGGCAAGTAGGTATTCGTACAAATTGAATACAAAGGATACAGTTATGTATGTATATGGCAAAACAGGTGTGTTACACATAACAATTTTTTATTTAAACACAGTTCTTTGTTACAAATAGTAAACATATCTTGACTTATTATGTAGCCCTGAATTATCCTTCGATATTAACACTGTGAACACAAATGTGTGCAAAAGTCTATTCCTGGATAGCTAATTCTCTCTCTCTCTCCCTCTCTCTCTCACGACCCCAAATAATACTAGATATCAAATAAGGCACCACCAAGAATAAATCCTCCGAAATCATGTTTTCTATTCGTAATTGAACAAAACTCTGACGTTTGGTGTTTTCTTCCCAATTGCGATAAATATTACCACATGCCTCAGTGGTGGAATTGGTGAGACGCCCGCCTAGTGAGTAGGGAGGTCCAGATTTAAACCTTGGTAGAGAGGGGTAATATTTTTCGCAATAAATATGTAATAGAATTATTTAGACACCAACCCTGTCACGGCTCTTAGCCTTCTTACTCCTTCGAACTTTTCTACACTCTGCCGCAAAAAAGCGGTACACTAAAAATTTGGGAGAAATTTACCAAATTTCAAGTGATCATATCTTGGTAAGTAATAAAGATAAAAATAAGTACAAAAATGGAAAATGAAGCTCCGAATGTCCTCTTTAAAAATATTTGAATGGCAATTATGCTCGGTCATTTTTTTCAAAATGGCGAATGATAAAGTGAGAGGACACAAAATTGATAATTGAAGTGATGAAGATATGACGAAGTGGACATGAAAGTATAGGGTGTCAGCTTTAAAATGTTTTTTTATTGAGTTCGATACGATCATTTTTCGCGGAGTTATGCACATGTAAAGAAAAAAACAATTTTTTTAAAAAAGCATTTTTAAAAAGCATTTTAAAGCTAACACTCTATACTTTCATGGGCACTTCGTCACATTAGGCTGCGATACCTACTGTACGCCATGCGCCGTCGTAAACTCGAAGCTATATTTATCAACTTTGCGTGCTCTCCTTTTGTCATCCGCCATTTTGAAACAATCGTCGCCGACAATCTCGATTTTAATTTAAAAAATGGAATTTCAAAGCTTTCAAACCGTTTTTGAAATTTTGTACTGGGATGCTAGGTGCACTAGGTGCTGAGATATTCAATTCCGAATTTGCAACAAGGTCGATTCATTGTCTGTCAAATTATGGTCGTAATTCTTTCCAATATGAATAGCATAAAATTTTACTGATCGGAATGGAACATCTCGTGCGTGTGTGTTTTATGCGCGCGCGCGGGTGTGTGTGTCTTTGCATACCACAAGGATAAGGACCCCGTAGTTCGTCAAGAGAAAGTGTCGTAGCTGGTGATGGAGAGTCGGAGCTTTTCGAGCCGTCGCAACCAGAGGCGCTTCGCGTAGGCTTGAAATTGTCCGGAGCTTTTCGAGCCGCCGTAGCCGCAGGCGCTTTGCGTTAGGCTCTCTCACGAGCGAGCGAAAGATTTATGTCGATACGTGTACGCTAACAAATTTGATTTTTTTTATGTACATAATAAGAAGGACAATTGATACTAACGTTGTGTCAGATTTAACAGTTGTAAAGAGTAGTTATCAATCATTTATTAGTGACATCTTATTGTTAGATTTATTATGTCGACAATAAATCCTGAAAAAGCTGCTCAAGTTGTAGCGTTGATTGAAGATGGCAGAAGTCGAAGGTACGTTACTGAGACACTTCATCTGTCAGTGTCAACTGTGCAATGTGCTTATGCCAGGTACTTAGACAACAATTACTTCCAGAGAAGGCCTGGTTTAGGACGTCCTCGATATACTAATGACGAAGATGACCGATATATTGTTTTAAATTCGTTAAGACACAGACATCGAACAGCTCTTCAAATTCGAAACAATTTAAGAGATGTTCGCAACATTAATGTATCTGTTGACACCGTTCGGAGAAGATTAGCGGAACAAAATCTGTTTTCGCGCAGGCCAGTGGCTGTACCTTTGCTTACACGTCGCCATCGCGTAACTCGACTCAATTTTGCAGTTGAGCATAGAGACTGGACTTGCGCAGACTGGAACAATGTACTCTTTAGCGATGAATCTCGTTTTTGTCTCTATTCTCCAGATGGACGAGAACGAGTTTATCGTCGCGGTGGAGAACGATTTACAGTCTGTACTGTAAGTGAAAGGCATAGCTACAATGGAGTTGTCTGTAATGATTTGGGCAGGAGTTTCAGTGAATGCTCACACAGATCTGCACTTTTTTGACAGGAACACGAATGCCGATGTGTACGTGGAATTACGTACTCATTCCGTATGTTGTTCCGTATGCACACTTCATCGGAGAGAATTTCTTGTTTATGAAAGACAATGCTCGACCACATAATGCAAGAAGAGTGCTTGATTTCTTTGATCAAGTTGGCATAAATCGACTCGATTGGCCAGCAAATAGTCCAGATTTAAACCCAATTGAACATTTATAGGACAACCTCGGCAGGAAAATACGAAATCACGTACCTGCTCGTCAGTCATTGCAAGAACTTCGAAGAGTTATTACAAATGAATGGAATGCAATTACGCAGGATGAAATTAAAAGATTAATAAGGAGTATGCCTAATCGCATGAATGAGATAATACGCGCACGAGGAGGTTATACTCACTATTAATACACACACACACACATAGGTACCACAAGGAAGGTGTGGAGCCTTAAAATACTGTGGAGCTGACGTACCACGGGGTCCTTATCCTTGCGGTATGCAAACACACACACCACAAGGAGGGTGTGGAGTCTTAAAATACTGTGGAGCTGACTTGAAAAGCTCCAACTCCCCACAACCAGCTATGACAATTTCAAGCCTACGCGAAGCGCCTGCGGCTGCGGCGGCGGCTCGAAAAGCTGCGATTCCCCACCACCAGCTACGACACTTTCTCTTGACGAACCATGGGGTCCTTATCCTTGTGGTATGCAAAGCCCCACACACACACACACACACACACACACACACACACACACAC